CGAGCCACAATCAGCAGCTGATCCAGACCGAATTCCAGTTCTGGATCGGTCGGGTTTCGTGTGGGAGGTGGTGCATTGGGGGGTGTCGTCTGTTTGGTGAATGGATCCTTGCAAATCGCAGTGGGTGAGAAAAACCATTTTACAGATATCAGGGGTGAAATGTTTGTGCCGAATATATATATATATATATATATATATACATCATATAGGATATGTGCGGTAGAACGAGAATATACAGAATAAAACACCTTGATCCCTTGGATATTGAAGATTGATCTACTAACCTGCGGGAAAACCGATAATATTACAGCAAACACAGGAAGTTAAGGTCTTTGATATGATGGTTTAATGATATTTGAAGATCGGATGCAGTAAACATCATCAGTATGGAATTGTGAAAAAATTCTGGAGTGGAATTTACTAGTTGTTACCAAATTTTGAAGGCAAATGAACTGAACCCAACGTGGTCAACTTGAGGCACGACACGATCGAATGTAAGGTTCAACGAATTCGCATGCATGCTGATCGCGCACCCAAACTGAACGGTGAGTAAACTTGGAAAGCTTGGAAATCATTTATCATATTTCGTACGGTCTTCGCATAACATTTTCGGACAGTTGTACAAGCAAAATGAAGAATGCTGAAGGAACAACATATTAGCGCACAAGCTGATTTTCAGTGTTCAACATTTATGCTAGTACAATGCAATATGCGACAAACTACACAGGGAGAAAATGAAATACATCAAAGTGTGTTTGGACATGTCCGGATATTCCCTTGTTCTTGGTCTCCTTGTCCTCTATTCGGTCAGTTCATGACAAGCTTTGTGATGTGGACTGAATCAGCCGGAGTTGGAGCGTTTGCTCGAATTGTGGTTTTGCGTAAAAAGATGAGGCTGCACAAACGGATGCTTACCACCTCCACTGTGGTGATAATGTGACACATGATGAGCCTTCAACGTCGTCCGCATACCTAATACAGGATTTGAAATGTTTATGCATCATTAGCACTACGGACCGACTTCACTAGATGTGATAACGATGCACTCCAGGTCAACTTTTCCGCTCCAGTTTTCCAGTGGGCCGGGTGATGTTCACCAATGTAATGTTTGGTCGTGCGGTCTATATATATATTATAACACACCTTAGTGTGGTTAACAGGAGACGGAGAAAGCTCTGTGGTCACGAGGACCTGCTGTTCAGTGATGGAAACCGGTAATCTAAGCTCCGGGGCTTGGAGAGGCGAACCAAATAAGGCCCCGCTGGGTTAGACCTGGTAGTAAACCGGGCGACAGAAAAGTTGCCTATCAGCGTTGTCGCACAGGATCAAATAAATGTCCAACCACAGAGGTCACGAAACCGGGAAGCTTATCTTATAGTCAAAGGAATGTCTCAGGGTAGGATGTGAGTTTCAGTTTCAGTTTTTATAGCCATTAAACAGGCAATTTCGTGCGCCGGTTTTGGTTACTGTCTTTTGGCCCTCCATCTTGATGAAAGAGTGGAATGATGATTGGAAAGTTGAGAGCAAATTTCAGCGGAAGATAAAGAATTCCTACAGACAGGTTGCAAGAATGAGTAGATGCATGAGCGCCACTGTATGCGACACTCAGCCCTATCGCGCAGTTTCTCTAACCATCGGTGATCATGATCTCGGAGAGGACCATAAACTTGGATCGATGATTCCTCTGCTATTCCACCGACTGAAATCAGAACTCCGGTCGAAACCCGTAAGGGCCCCGGCGTTCAAACTTCTTCTGACTTCTGGCCCTCGATATTTCAGGCATTATCATGTCCCCGATTTATTTTAAATCATTATGTGTGCCTTGCTAGTTCAGAAAGGTGCACATGCCATCATCGTGTGCTAAAGTATAGTCTGCTTATGATGGCATTTGCCTCGTGATCTGTGCAATCCAGTGTGCACTATTAAACAGCAGCTATGAAGTTACAGCGGTGGAAACCAACATTCACATCACCAAAGAAGCGCATATACAGTGCGCACTCCTCGACGAAAGATCTGAGCTGTTTGTTCGCCAATCCAACCATAAAACGATACGGGAATAGCGGTCCAGATGGAGACCCCCATTGCCATGGCATTCATTGCCGATTTACGATGTTACGTAACTGGAATTAGACGGTTTTATAAATCAAATAACTGGTTTAAGCTGTCCAAGGGACGACCTAAATGAATTTCTCTGTTCGGCATATGATTACACAAGAATGCTACTGTCTCACTTTTTGTGAAAAGTTAGTTGACCTTTTTATGACACACCTTGGTGTTGAACAGCAGAAGGGATAAACCCCACAATCACGAGGACCTGCCGTTCAGTGATGGAAGCCGGCAACCTAAGCTCCTGGACTTGGAGTGGCGAACCAAATAAGGCTCCGATAGGTCAGGAGTGGCACTGAACCGGACGGCAGCAACGCTGCCTACCAGGAAAGTTGGGTGGTGGTGGCGGGACTCGAACCTCGGACCAAAGGAAGAACATTTGTTTCCAGAAAACTTGATTTGTCCCAAACATTGTGATTCATTGTTACAAAATCCTTGGCAACCATTTGACTATAACATAATGCACAGATTTCCGCGTATTGAAACACTAAAAACGAGGCTTGTTGCTAATCTGTGATGTTTTTCATGTGTTCTAGGGAATACTTTTACAACTAAGTGTAGCAAATTGGGAACAATTCTTTCGATTATTCACGCGCACCTGACAGGGATACAAAAAGTAGGCACTGCTGACGAATCCCAAACAGGAAGAAACAACTGACTAGTGGGTATCGTCTACTCCGGCGCTGACGTTTGATGGTCAAGAATTAGCTATAGTACAATGTTTCTTCTACTTAAGTAGCTGCGTGTCAAATGGCGGTAGCGTGGTCAAGGAAGTAATCAGCTGCATTTCTAAGACAAAAGCAGCCTACGCAGGACTGAAAAATCTTCGGCGCTGACGTGGTGTTTCGCTGACACTGAAAGGTGGCGTATATAGTGCCAGTGTGCGGTCAGTTCTGCTTTACGGTTAGAAAACCCTAAATTTGCACGTGGAAGACATTCGTCGTCTAGAAGTCTTCGACTGCCGATGTTTACGTATTTCAGCGCGGATTGGATGGAGAAGGTATGTAAGAAGTAGTAGTAGTAGTAGTAGTAGTAGTAGTAGTAGTAGTAGTAGTAGTATGTAAGAGGTAGGTCGTCGCGTATTTGGTAATGTTTCAGAGGAAAATTCGTTATCACATGGAATTCTGATGAATGGGCTTCGCTGCTTAGGACACGTATTGCAAATACCCAGCTATCGCCTACGGCACCGCACCATATTCTCCGTTACGGCTCCAGGTTGAAAAAAACCCACATGGAGGTCAACAGATGACGTGGAAATGAGGCGTGGAAGGCATGAGTAACCTTAAGGAACCGCCCTCCCCAGGGGGATAATCTTGGGACTGTTTGCAAAAGAACATGAAGAGGAGGAGGATTATTTCGATGCAATATTCGATATACAAAGCTCGGGTTACCATAAACTTAGCAGCAGTGAGACGAGTGAATCTCCAATAAGTCAAGTATTTTAGTAAAGATCTGGAAATATAGTTTTCTGACCATTTTACTTGTCATCTTTTTTGTCACATTAAAACGTTTCAATTTCACGTCATTTAATGGAAAACAACAGGAATAGACTCCATTGTCATGATAATCTGCTATTGACCCACAGTAGTTGGCAATCTGAGCTTTGTGACAAACCACAGGGCGTCAGTGGGACAGACATGAGATTGAGCCAGAAGACAGCAGTATTAACTACCACCAAAGTTGTGGTTGTGACAGGGTTCGAACCTCAGTGCCACAAACACGTTGGCGACAACGGTCTAGACCTCCTAATGGCCACTATCGATACAGACAGTCTGGCAATGTGGTGTTATTATTAGCGGTTTATCCATTACACCAAAACAATTAAGGTTTCACAAGTAACTCAAACCCACAATAGTGGTATACTTACTTTCTTCGTAGCCAACGGAATGCAACTAGGCGACCGGGTTTCCAAAGCGGTTGATGAAATGGAAATGGGGTCGTGTATCAGACATAATTCATGCTGCCGTATACTTAGATTCCAACGCTCTATACCTGTTGGAATATGGACCGCGCGTACAATGTGATTTACACAGTAGACCAATATCATCGCATTTCGTCTATTGAACATTGCCTCCGCTTCAGCAGTCGATGGTGTGCGTGAGCAGCCGTCTCGGGAACAATTGTACTTAACCTGACAAATTGTAAGGGGACGATTGGGATATACTTGAAAAGGATTACACAATTAACGAAAGGATCATAACTGAAAATAAAGAGCAAATAATTGTAAAAGCGATACACAGATTGAGAAGGTTTAGAGTTAGTGTGTGCGGTTTATATCCTTTCATCCCAAATCGTTTTATCAACCTTTTATTTCTGACCTGCATTTTTTGTCTCACCAACTTAATGGGTCCCTGTTATGTCGTCGCAAATTTTTTTCAACAGGCCTCTATATAACTTATGAGCATTGTATGTATGAACTTAGTAATGTGAAAGGTTACATTTGACTTTCACCGTCCGCTACATGTTGATCCGAGTGACGTGCTTCCTTGAAACCCCGCTCTTGTTACAAACATTTAAATACGCGCTTAGACTGACAGACGTATTATTTTGCTCCTTAAGTGACAGATACGTTACTGGTCCTGAACCCGTTAAATGTGATCTATTCTAAATACAGTGGTACCATTATTATTACGGCTGGTTTCTCCAGGTTCTGTTGTTTTTTATTGGTAATTGATTTACCTTATGTTTCTGTGGCTACTGAATATTCACCCATCAATGCACATGAATTGTTTACAATGTTTTATTTGAAACGGAAATCCTTTTCATCCTTTTGGACAGTGTAGAAAATGACAAGAACGAATTGTAAGTACTAGCCTCATTTGGAAATAATGGACGAACTCCTGTATACCGTGGATAGTTGAGATCATGGGATCGAAAAAGAAACCTGTG